CACAACCCAGATAGCTCAATATTGCTTTCACACACCACAAATAATATGTTTTTAAAACTTTTTATTCAGTGGCAGTTTTGAGATACAACCTCCACCATCAGACTGAAAGGCTGGAAGACCAACAAAACAAAATTACAAAAGCACTGCAACAACTAATCACGCATAAGCAACTGGTGGAACCAGATATAAGAGTGAAACTAGTAACATAACATTTATCAGAGCCTCTCATATTTAAACCAGTGTATGCTCTGGTCTTCTTAACTTGGCTTTTTGGTCCTCCAATGACTTTGGTTTTATTCTTATGTTCCTCTGTGTAAATACAGTAACATTCATGCCCTGTTTTTGCTAAAAGCTGATGCTGAGATGTAGAAAATACAGTTTTCATGTGGACAACAATTTTGATTTGAAATGTGTCACACAAGCTCATTTATGCTTTTAAGTAACATCAGAGCCACACTGGAAGTGCGGTAGAGGTTTTGTATGTGATTTAATGTGACCAACAAACTCTGTTCTGTCAAGCAGAAGAAAAGTCCCTTCTGCAAATCCATGTTAAAAACACCTCCACATCACTTGTAAACACTGAACTAGCAACCTACTTGTCTATTTTATTGCTTCCACCTTACACATTACACTTTCACTTAATATCAAAAAATCAGCAACCAGGTGCTTATGCAACATCCAAAAAAAAAAAAAAACAAAAAAAAAAATCAGTCTTCACCACCACCTAATCAGGACATAGGGCTGTTTCAGGCACATGTAATGGGATACGGAACCTTCCAGTTGAGTTCCTAGCCTGAGTTCAAGCCAGAGTAATCACTAATAAATACTCTTGCCATACAAGAACCCAAGGCCCACACTGGTCTCTTGCCAATGTGAAACAGGGATCTGAACGTAGACTATTTCTTCACAGCTGTCTCATGCCACAGAATTCATCATCACAAGGAAGGCCATGTTGGCAGCCCAGGGGTCGAAGTTGGCTGTCAAGACAATTTTATCTGAGAATACTGGAACTGGAAAACTGACTGCTGCTGTGTATTTGCAGTGGGAATGCAGAGACAGAACAGGCCTGCTAGGGTTTATGATGTCAGCTCTAGCACTGTGCACACAAATCTGTGATGATCTGGTCCACAAACACCTGGCAGAAAATAAGTGTCCCCAGGCACATCAAAGTTATCCAACAACGCAGTCAGCATGCAAGTGAGCTGGCCTAACAGTTGAGCTTAAGTTAGCCCCTTTTGTCCCAGAGGCTGTCCTGAGCAAAAGGAAAAGCACTGGTAGCGCTAAACTGCTGAACTACTGAAAGGCAGCAGCCCCTCTGGTGAGCGTCCAGGCACAGCACTATACAGCATGAGGGATCTCACATGCTGAAATGGCAACAGCCTAACATATGTTCCATTTAGCATGTTTAATTGACAACCTGAAATAAAAGTCAGCTGTGGGAGTAAAGACAGATAAGGGTGAGGGGAAAACAGCTCCTAGACAAGACTTTGTGAATTACAAAGTCTTAATTATATTAAATGCATTATGGTACCATATGCACATCCCTAATATGGCAGAGAAGGAGGAAATGGGACTAGATGCTAAAACTGGAAGTTGAAGGGCTACTTTCTAGACTTGATCTCTTAGAAAGTTGCTGAACCACTTTGTCCTAGATTAGCCATCCATAAAACAAAGGCAATAATCCTTTCTTCACAGGGGTGTTGAGAGGTTTAATTAATTAATGTTTGCAAAGTCCATTGAGATTTCTGACTGACATTTGAAGTAATTCAGAGTACTTTTTAAATGTATTTTTTTCTTCTACTACACCACTCAAATCTTGTCATATTAAGATATCCAAAGGAGGAGAAGGTGGAAAGAAAAAGCATGGAGATAGGTACACAAACTAGTAGGAAAAAAAACCAACCCAGCAAACTCGGCACTTCAAATCCACTGCTGTCCCATCAAAGCTGTCAGAATACTGCCACTTCTACAGATGAAGACTGTGTTTGTCCAAACACCTGCCACCTTCACCTTGCAGATGTGTTAAACTTAGATATTTTTACCTGTAGCACCATGTTGGTAAACAACACGGTAATAAATGGCAGAAATAACAGGCAGTCATGTCAGGTTGATTGGATCACCAGAGGAAGTGAAGGGGAGAAGAGCATAGGAATGAAAGCACCAAAAGAGAACCAGAAAGTGAGAAGAGAGCTCTGGACAGAGAAAGTGGCAAGTTGAGTGTAAGAAGAAGCCAATCATTAATAAGGGACTCCAGGCACAGAGCTATTCTATGAAATGCATTCCCACAGATGTGCAGGTACACTGGAATACATTATCCAGGGAGACTAGTCTAGCGTGAACAAGGCCACATATGTGTCCCAGTGCCAGAGACAAACTGAATATTGGACACTCTTAAACGCACAAGCACACACAAGGAGCTGCTTGATACCTGAGCTGGGATTTCTCAGTCTCTACATTGTCCCCCATCTCGGAGCAAAACCTTTGTGTGGCCAGTTTCTGTAGGGGGCGTTTGTGGGTTCTGAGATACAATCAAAACGCAGACAGAGGAAATGCAAATGTCATTCAGCTCCCGTTCATTGTCAGGAAGGACACATGAGGATAAAACACTGTGCATTGCATCCCTCCCTTATTATGTGTCCTACTGCTTTTGTCCTAATTTATCCCATGCATAATTTATCCACATGTGTATTGTTTCCCGATCAGCAACTTTAAAGAATAAGTGAAAATTATAAAATGTTTTATTAAACAAGTTGTCAACAAAATCGCAGATGGTGTCAGACAGCCAGTACCAATTCTGCTTCCTCCACATAGCCTTAGTACTTTAAAAGGCACACCGAGGAAAGCGAACCCAGCACTTGATGTCTATTGTTTCCTCCTCTCACACCCCCCAGGGGCGAGGAGAGGAGAAGGGAGCTAATTATAAATGGCCTCATCCTGTCCTCCCCGAGTTTAGCAGCAGCAGCGGGATCGGGCCCCAATTCATTTCGGCACAAGCAGCCCTTCGGCAGGATCCGCCGCGACTGCTGGGAGCCCCACGGTGCCGCGAAGTGCGAGGCGACGAGGCGAGGTCCCATCCGCCGGCGGGGCGGGGGCCGGGGTCGCCCGGCATGTTCCCGGGGCCGCGGCCGCTCCCGAGAGCTCGTCGCCTCCCACCCGCCGTCGCCAGAGGCCACTGAGCCCGAGCTTCCCCGCCACCGGCAACACACGTCCGCGGCTGCTCCCGGCCCAGGTGCGGAGCCGGGCGGTGCGGCCCCCGGCGTGCGGTGCCCGTGCCAGGGCAGCGCCCGGCTGCCGGGAGGGGCGCGGGAAGAAATCGCCCTCGCCTGCACAAGCGTCAAACCTGCCGTCGAACGGGGGGGCAACGCCGCCTCTTCCGCGCCGTTTTCAGAGTATGTTCCGTCCCTCGCCGCCCACCCATGAGGATACTCGGACTTCTTTGATTAACCCCCTGGCAACTGCGCTCCTCTCTCCCCGCGGATTCTCGTACCCGAGAGAGCGGGTAAATGAAAGCAAAGGTTTTCTGCCAGGACGGAGCAGGAGACAAACATGTCAGCACCCCTTCCCAGCTCGAGGCTTTCCTTTCCCTCCGGATCGCAGAGAGACAGCCGCAGGAACCCCTGGAAAAACCTTCAAGTGTTTTTCCAACTCCAGCCGGAGAGACTTGAGTTGGGGGGGAAAAAAAAAAAAGAAAAGAAAAATCTCGCAACCCTAATTTCATCTCGGAAAACTCGAAGGTATAAAAACACCCACTCAGCGCAGCCAGAAAGTGCAAACGAAGCGTCACCGCCAGGTACTGTGCTTCCCTGCTTTACTAGCAAGAGCGCTGCCCCCGTTAGCAGGGAAGTCGTTTGAAAAAGGTTAAGACAGCTCCTCTCCCCACATACGCTGCCAAATCCCACTCTCCCTAATGCCTTCGGGGATTAGCGGCGTGCGCTGCAGACCACAAGGAAAATAAAGGACGCGATCCAGAAGACGACAACCGGCTCCCGTGGTCTCCCTCAGAAATCAGCTTTATTTGCAGACCGGGAACCCCGGAATACCTCCGCAGCAGAAGTACCTGCCCCCTTCCTCCCTCCCTCTCTCGAGCAGGGGTCAGACCCCGTTCGCGCAGCCCTCGGCGGCTTCTGCCTGCTCTCAAGATGGAAACACAATCAACTCTCTACCCCACTTTGAAAAGCGAAAGCCTGTCATATGCAAAACAGATCTCCAGACTTCCTGCCCCAAATCAGCGACCGGCAGTCCCGAGCCATTCATTTCACCCAAGTCTGCTTCCCTCCCTCTCCTCTTCCCTCTCTCTCCCATA